AGCTAACCGATTGAGCTTCATTGCATCCAACTATGAAACGGCCAATAATTTCAGCAGCTTTTCTTTCTCCGTAGCATATGGACACACCGTGCAGATAGCGAACTACACTTCCAGCCCTATAAAATCTAATACTTGATAAGAACATCAAGTGAGCTGAGACCAACCATGGTGGGCTGGAAATAGCAGCATCAATAACAAACTGCAGCCGTTTCCCCGATGCAAACTCCGCAACAGCCGGGTAGTCAACAATGGAAAGATTTTGCTTTGAATGTACTGTTCGGACTATGAGGTTTACTATCTCATCCTAAAATGGTAGTAATGCACACCGTTACCTGGTCGCTAAGTATCAAAAAACTTACCACGACCACTATGATTTTCTCCCTGATAGCGCGGCAAACACCAGGATCCTGATGTTCAAATTCTAGATAGGTAAGACATATGAATAGACCATGGCGAGTTAATAGAAAGGACTCACCGCTGAAAATCAAGGGATCTAGAGCCATCTCCATGACACATGAAAAGACGACAGAGAGTGATTGCACGTCCAAAGCTCGAATCATTTGTTTCGCAAACTCCATGTAAGGCATAGAGGAGAGGACGAGACGCTGATCAACAGACATCAGCTGACGTATACCACGGAAAAAGTTAGACGGCGTGGCTAAAAGTGCATGTGCAGATGTTTACGGTATACTTGGCGATTCACCTGCATCAGCGTTTTGTCTAATGAGACATCGTAGCGTTTCCACAGAACAAGTCACCAGTTTGAAGAAGAACACAAAATCCAAGTTTTCAAAAGCACCATCCTTAGGATTGGCATCGAGGCTATCCTACAACGACATGCGGCAAGTTGGAAGAAATTTCGTTTGGGAAAGGTATACCTTGATCATACGAGAAACAACTTTTTCCAGCTCAGTGTTGCTACGTCGGGTAAGGAAGTTAAATACATCAGACAGAGAGCTAAGCTTCATATTGTAGTCCTCATGGATGCTAGCCAAAATTGTGGCAGAGACCTAAAAAGGAGAAGAATAATCACTGATCCAGTCTACGTAACAGCATCAATTCCAAGTTGCTGATTCCGCACTACGTGGAATTGACCTTGTCGAAAAACACACTTGTGTCAAAACCCTCTTTCCTCAGCTGGATATCTAAGCGGCTTTAGCCAGACTCAGACACTAAACTTTCTATACAAAGATGCGCTTTAAGCATCTCTACTCAAGTATCAAAATACAAGCATTTGAATTTGTCAACATAGGACTATTTTACCAACATTTAATTTATATGGCAATAAGGCAACAGGCATAGGTTGCCGGC